ATGGACAGCAGAGGCAAAGTGGCAATCAGCATAGTCTGACTTCTGTAGAGATCTGGCATTTGCTAATTAATCATGGTGTTTCTAGAAAGGAAATTGATAGGAAACCTACTACATTTCTACTCAATTTATACAAGCAGAAAAATTCTAGGTTGAATGGACAAAGACTACTTTGAATGATAAAAACAGAGAATCATGGATCCTCAATCAATTTCCAGTCTTGAGCCAGTTTACAGACCCAAAACCACTTGATTGAAGGGGAGGCCATGTCCCCTTGAGGAAGGACCCCATGACATTACCAACAATTTATTCAGTGAAAGTTTCTCCCATTATTTCCCAAGGAGACCTCCAGCATTTTACTAGGGTAACTGTGCATTGGAGAAAGGGAAATAATCAGGGACTACTGGACACTGGCTCTGAGCTGACATTGATTCCAGGGGACCCTAACCATCATTGTGGCCCTTCAGTTAAAGTAGGTACTTAGGGAGGTCAGGTAATTAATGGAGTTTTAGCTCAGGTCTGACTTACAGTGGGCATAGTGGGTCCCCATACTCATTCTGTGGTCATTTTTCCAGTGCCAGAATACTTAATTGGCATAGACATACTTAGCAGCTGGCAGGATGCCCACATGGACTTGTTCACTGGTAGGGTGAGGGTTACTATGGTGGGAAAGGCCAAATGGAAGCCATTAGGGCTGACTCTACCTAGAAAAAATAGTAAATCAAAACAACATTTCATCCCTGGAGGGATTTCAGAGATTAGTGCCACCATCAAGGAGTTGAAAGATGCAGGGGTGGTGATTCCCCCACATCCCCATTCAACTCTCCCATTTGACCTGTGTGGAAGACAGATGGCTCTTAAAGAATGACAGTGGAATATTGTAAGCTTAACCAAGTGGTGACTCCAATTGCAGCTGCTGTACCAGATGTGTTTTCATTGCTTGAGCAAATCAACACATCTCCTGGTACCTGGTATGCAGCCACTGGCTTGGCATATGCCATTTTCTCCATTTCTGTTCATAAGGCCCACCAGAAGCATTTTGCCTTCAGCTAGCAAGGCCAACAATATATCTTTACTGTTTTACTTGAGAGGTATATCAACTCTTTGGCTTTGTGTCATAATCTTATTCAGAGAGAGAGCTTGATCACTTCAGGTTGCTGCAAGATATCACACTGGTTCATTACATTGATGATATTATGCTGATTGGATCTAGTGAGCAAAAAGTAGCAGACACACTAGACTTACTGATGAGACATTTGTGTGCCAGAGGATGGAAAATAAATCTGACTAAAATTCAGGGATTTTTCTACCTCAGTGAAGTTTCTAGAAATGCAGTGGTGTGGGGCCTGTCAAGATATTCCTTTGAAGGTGAACGATAATTTGCTGCATTTGGCCCCTCCTACAACCAAGAGAGAAGCACAATACCCAGTGGGCCTATTTGGATTTTGGAGGCAACATATTCCTTATTTGGGTGTGTTATTCTGGCCCATTTATCTGCTACTGCCCAACAAAATGCTTTGTCTGGCACCACCCATTGGAGTGTTGTGACCAGCTGTCACCAGGCACCATAGCCCCTCTAGCACAGCAGGTTTCTAACCTTGAGGGACCAAAGAACAAAGTGATGAGCTGGTACCAGTCCCCAGAGTTAGAGCATGCAGTCCAGGAGTCCTGAACTGAGCCTTGCCCCCGATTAAAAATCTTCCAGAAATGAAGCCATTTGACTGAACCCAACTTATACCACAATCAAACCCTCAAAGTAGAAAAAAAAACATTCAAAGTATAGCAACGTTAAAGATCGAAAGAACATTAGCCCACAGAGATGAGAAAAAACCAGTGCAAGAAATCTGACAACTCAAAAAGACAGAGTGCCCTTTTTCCTCCAAAAGATTGCACTAGCTCTCCAGCAAGCGTTCTTAACCAGACTGAGATATCTGAAATAACAATAGAATTCAAATTATGAATAAGAATGAAGATCATTGAGATGCAAGGGTACATTGAAACCCAATCCATGGAAGGTAAGAATCACAATAAAATAATACAGTAGCTGGCAGACAAGGTAGCCAGTATAGAAAAGAACACAACCAATCTGATAAAACTGAAAAATACACTACAAGAATTTCATAAGACAATTGCAAGTATTAATAACAGAATAGATCAAGTGGAGAAAAGAAACTCAGAGCTTGAAGACTGCCTTTCTGAAATAAGACCAGTAAACAAAAATAGAAAAAAAGAATAAAAAGGAATGAATGAAACCTCCAAGAAATATAGGATTATGTAAAGAGACCAAATCTATGACTCATTGGTGTCCCTGAAAGAGATGGGGAGAATGGAAACAACTTGAAAATGTAGTTCAGGAAATGATCCATGAGAATTTCTCCAACCTAGTTGGAGAAGCCAATATTAAAATTCAGGAAATACAGAGAACCTTGGTAAGATACTATACAAGATGATTATCTCCAAGGCACATTATCATCAACTACTTGAATGTCAAAATAAAAGATAAAATGTTAATGGCAGCTAAAGAGAAAAGTAAAATCACCTAAAACGGGAAGCCCATTTGAGTAATAGCAGACCTCTTGGAAGAAAATCTACAAGCCCGACGAAATTGGGGGCTAGACACCAAGCTAGCTGCAGGAGTTTTTTGTTTTCATACCCCAGTGGTGCTTGGAATGCCAGCAAGACAGAATCATTCACTTCTCTGGAAAGTGGGCGGAAGCCAGGGATCCAAGTGGTCTAGTTCAGCAAATTCTACCCCCTTGGAGCCCAGCAAGCTAAGATCCACTGGCTTGAAATTCTTGATGCCAGCACAGCAGTCTGCAGTAGACCTGGGATGCTCAAGCTTGGTGGGGGAGAGGTGTCTGCCATTACTGAGGCTTGAGTAGGCAGTTTTCCCCTCACAGTGTAAACAAAGCTGGCAGGAATTTTGAACTTGGAGGAGAATACCACAATTTGGCAAAGCTACTATAGTCAGACTGCCTCTCTAAATTCCTCTTCTCTGGGCAGGGCATCTCCGAAAGAAAGGCAGCAGCCCCATTCAGGGGCTTATAGATAAAGATAAGCTGTCCTTTGGACAGAGCAGCTGTGGGAAAGGGCAGCTGTGAGCACAGTTTCAGCAGGCTTAAATGTTCCTGCCTGCTGGCTCTGAAGAGAACAGCAGATCTCCCAGCACAATGCTTGAGTTCTGCTAAGGGACAGACTGCCTCCTCAATTGGGCCACTGACTGGCAAACTGAATAAACAGTCAAGACCCATTGGTGTGCTGTATTTAGGAGACCCATCTCACTTGCAAAGACAAACATAGACTCAAAATAAAGGGATGAAAGAATATTTACCAAGCAAATGGTGGGGGGGAAGAGGTTGCAATCCTAGTCCCTGATAAAACAGACTTTAAACCAACAAAGATCAAAAAAGACAAAGACGGGCATTACATAATGGTAAAGGGCTCAATGCAACAAGAAAAGCTAACTATCTTAAATATATATGCACTCAATAAGAATTACCCAGATTTATAAAGGAAGTTCTTAGAGACTCACAAAAAAGTTACAGCAGATCTCTCAGCAGAAACTCTACAAGCCAGAAGAGAGTGGGGGCCAATATTCAACATCCTTAAAGAACAGAACTTTCAGCCCAGAATTTCATATCCAGCCAAACTAAGCTTCACAACTGAAGGAAAAATAAAATCTTTTATGAACAAGCAAGCACTCAGAGATTTTATTACCACCAGGCCTGCTTTACAAGAGCTTCTGAGAGAAGCATTACACATAGAAACAACCAGTATTAGCCTTTCTAAAAATATATGAAAAAGTAAAGAGCATCAACATAAAGAAGAATTTACATCAACGAATGGATAAAACAGCCAGTTAACATCAAATGGCAGTAATCCTAAATTTAAATCGACTAAATCCCCCAATCAAAAGATATAGCCAAAACCCAACTGTATGCTACATCCAGACCCATTTCACATGTAAGGATACACAAAGACTCAAAGCAAAGGGATGGAGAAAGATTTACCAACCAAATGGAGAGCAAAAATAAATAAATAAATAAAAAGCAGGAGTTGCAATTCTCGCATCTGATAAAATAGATTTTAAAGCAACAAAGATATAGTGGTAAAAGGATCAATGCAACAATAAGAGCTAACGATCCTAACACCCAGATACATAGAGACTTAGACTCTGTGAGACAGAAAATTAATAAGGATATCCAGGACTCAAACTCAGATCTGGAACAAGTAAACTTAATAAATACTTATAGAGCTCTCCACTTTAAATACACAAAATATACATTCTTGTCAACACATCATACCTACTCATAGGTTTAAATGAAATACTGATTGGCCATTATTAATACCCAATTTTTAGAATAAAGCAACATTTCCATTCTCTCTCCCTCTTTTTCTTCCTCTTTCTTCCTCTCCTTCACTCCTTTTTTTTTCTTTCCTTCTCTCAAAAAAGAAAATAAAATAAAAGTCACAAATCAACACATTCCAAATGATCTCTTATCCTGGCCTGCAACCCCTTTCTAAAAAAAAAATAAATAAATAAAAAATAAAAGAAAAGAAAACAGACTCACAAAAAGACTTGAACTCCCACACAATAATAATGGGAGACTTTAATATCCCAGTCAGTATCAGACAGATTGATGAGACAGAAAATTATCGAGGATGTTCTGGACTTGAACTGAACTCTGGACCAAGGAGACCAAATACACAACTACAAAACTCTCCACCCCATATCAACAGAAGATACATTCTTCTCAGCATCACATCGCACTTAGTCTAAAATTGACCATATACTTGGAAATAAAAAACTCCTCAGCAAATGCAAAAGAATGGAAATCAAAACAGTCTTTCAGACCACAGTGCAATCAAATTAGAACTCAGAACCAAAAAACTCACTCAACACCACAAAACTGCAAGGAAACTGAATAACCTGCTCCTGAATAACTACTAGGCAAATAACAAAATTAAGGCAGAAATAAAGATGTTCTTTGAACAATGAGAACAAGGACACAACATACCAGAATCTCTGGGACACACCTAAAGCAGTGTTTAAAGGAAAATTTATAGCACTAAATGCCCATAGGAGACAGCAAGAAAGATATAAAATTGACACCCTAATATCACAATTAAAAGAACTAAAAAAGGTGCACCCCTTCCCAGCCGCCCGGCCCCGACTGCCAGCTCTTCTTCGTCGCGCCGCCACCATGCTCTCCGTCCGCGTCCCGCTCGCGCCCATCACGGACCCGCAGCAGCTGCAGCTCTCGCCGCTGAAGGGGCTCAGCCTGGTCGACAAGGAGAACACGCCCCCGGCCCTGAACGGGACCCGCGTCCTGGCCAGCAAGACCGCGAGGAGCCCGCGGAGCCGAAACCTAGAGCAGCCGCCCCCGGCGTGGAGGAGGAGCCGCTGCTGAGAGCAAACCCACGCTGCTTTGTCATCTTCCCCATCAAGTACCAGGACATCTGGCAGATGTATAAGAAGGCGGAGGCCTCCTTCTGGACCGCCGAGGAGGTTGTGACCACCGAACCGCAGGTGGACCTGTCCAAGGACATTCGGCACTGGGAGTCCCTGAAGCCCGAGGAGAGATACTTTATATCCCACGTTCTGGCTTTCTTTGCAGCGAGCGATGGCATAGTGAATGAAAACCCGGTGGAGCGATTTAGCCAAGAAGTTCAGATCACAGAAGCCCGCTGTTTCTATGGCTTCCAAATTGCCATGGAAAACATACATTCTGAAATGTATAGTCTCATTGACACTTACATAAAAGATCCCAGGGAAAGGGAATTTCTCTTCAATGCCATTGAAACGATGCCTTGTGTCACGAAGAAGGCAGATTGGGCCTTGCGCTGGATTGGGGACAAAGAGGCTACCTATGGTGAACACGTCGTAGCCTTTGCTGCAGTGGAAGGCATCTTCTTTTCTGGTTCTTTTGCATCCATATTCTGGCTCAAGAAACGAGGACTGATGCCTAGCCTCATATTTTCTAATGAACTTATTAGCAGAGAGGAGGGTTTACACTGTGATTTTGCTTGCCTGATGTTCAAACACCTAGGACACAAACCATCAGAGGAGAGAGTAAGAAATAATTATCAATGCTGTTCCGATAGAACAGGAGCTCCTCACTGAGGCCTTGCCTGTGAAGCTCATTGGAATGAATTGCACTCTAATGAAGCAATACGTTGAGTTTGTAGCAGACAGACTTAAGCTGGAACTGGGTTTTAGCAAGGTTTTCAGAGTAGAGAATCCATTTGACTTTATGGAGAATATTTCACTGGAAGGAAAGACTAACTTCTTTGAGAAGAGAGTAGGCGAGTATCAGAGGATGGGAGTGATGTCAAGTCCAACAGAGAATTCTTTTACCTTGGATGCTGACTGCTAGATGAACTGAAGATGTGCCTTTATTTTGCTGATTTCTTTTTTCCACCTCATGAAAAAAATCAGCTAAAGTGTTATCAACTAGCTACACCATGCATTGTCCATAATGTTCATTAACAGCATCTTTAAAACTGTGTAGCTACCTCACAACCAGTCCTGTTTATTTATAATGCTGGTACTATCACTTTTTGCTAGCAGGCTGGCTGGCTGGCTGTGACTTACCATAGCAGTGACAGTGGCAGTCTTCGGGTGACCTTCTAGTGAGCTTGACACAGCAGGATTAAACATTTCATTTAACCAGCACAGGCAGTTGAAAGATGCAGCCTCACTGCTTCAATGCAGATTTTCATGTTTACTTAAATATAAAACTGGCACTTTACAAACAAACATTGTTTGTACTCAAAAGATGATAATAGCTTGATTTATTTGGTTTCTACACCAAATACAAAGCATTCTCCTGACCACTAACAGGAGCCAATTGACAATTCACTAACGGACTAAAGTAAGTTAAACTTGTATAGACTAAGCATGTAATTTCTAACTTTTATTTTAATGGATTAAAATACTCATTAACCAACTTTAAAGTCAATGCTGTGTACAGCTAGATATCAGCCTATTGGTGCCAGATACAAGATGGGTTGTGTGTTTCTTCTGTGGCTTGGGTAGCGTTCTGGGATTCTCTGCCCATCTGAGTAGAGTGTTGTGGGATCAAGGAATCTCTCAGGGCAAGGAGCTTCTTAAGTTAAATCCCTAGAAATTTAGGCATGATCTGAGCCTTCATATGGGTGAGAAGCCGTTTCATTTTATTTCTCACTGTAGTTTGTCCAACTTCTAGTTGATAAAATTCTTGAAGCGTTTTAATATGTGGGAGCTAAGGTAGTATTGTAAAATTTCAAGTCATCCTTAAACACAATGACCCACCTAAGATCTTACTCCTGTTAAGTGGCAAAATTGTTGTTTATCCTAGTTTTGTTTGTATGTAAGTAGGTTGTGTGAGTTAATTCATTTATATTTACTATGTTTTTTAAATTGGGATTTTTAATTATGTATGTCCTTTTAGATTTTGCCTGTAGTTCATACTTTGAAATAATTGCCGGGTGTCACCTTCTAGCATTGTCTAAATCTGACCATCATCTAGGGGAATCTTAAACTTCAGTAGGAAACCATGAGTTATAAATACAGTTTCCATTCAAATATTCATTTCAGAAGGAAACAAATATTCTTAATAGGGCTACTTTGAATTAATCTGCCTTTATGTTTGAGAGAAAAGAAAATCTGTCTTTATGTTTAGGAGAAGCCGTGAGTTATTAATATAGTTTCCATTCAAATATTAATTTCAGAAGGAAACAAACAAATATTCTTAATAGGGCTACTTTGAATTAATCTGCCTTTATGTTTGGGAGAAAAAAGCTGAGACCTTGCTTGAAAGATGATGCAAGATAAATGTTGACCTTTTGGCCCCATTTGTTAATTGTATTCACTATTTGAACATTGTTGTGTTCTGTTGTTAGTTTTCATCATTTATTGTATAGTCAATTTTTAAATCTCTGTATACCTTTCCCTAGCTTTTAAGTTATTGTTACCTAAAGTTAACGAATCGAGATTATATAGTCCTTATACTTATATAACATTAAAATAAAGAAAGGCTTTGCCTGGCATTGTGGGATACAGGCAGAATCGGGTTTTAGGATTCTGTCTCATTAGCTGAATAATGTGAGGATTAACTTCTCCCAACTCAGACTGTTTCCTAATCAGTTGAAAGGGAAACAAGTGTTTCAGTCTCAAAATTGAATACTACACAAGTGTTAAGTGATTAAAATAAAAGTGTTCTTATGTTAAAAAAAAAGAACTAAAAAAGCAAGAGAAAACAAATTCAAAAGCTGGCAGAAAACAAGAAATAACTAAGATCAGAGCAGAACTGAAGAAGATAGAGATGTGAAAAACTCTTCAAAAAGTCAATGAATCCAGGAGCTAGTTTTTTGAAAAGATTAACAAAATAGACCACTAGCCAGACTAATAAAGAAGAAAAGAATCAAATAAACACAATAAAAAATGATAAAGGAGATATCAACACTGATTCCACAGAAATACAAACTACCATCAAAGAATACTATAAACACCTCTATGAAAATAAACTAGAAAATCTAGAATAAATGGATAAATTCCTGGACACATATACCCTCCCAAGACTAAACCAGGAAGAAGTTGAATTCCTGAATAGGCCAATAACAAGTTCTGAAATCGAGGCAGTTATTAATAGCCTACCAACCAAAAAAGCCCAACCAGATGGATTCAAATCCAAATTCTACCAGAGGTATAAAGAGGAAGAGGAGCTGGTACCATTTCTTCTAAAACTATTCCAAACAATAGATAAAGAGGGACTCCTCCCTAACTTATTCATGAGGTCAGCATCATCCTATACCAAAACCTGGCAGAGACACAATAACAACAACAAAAATTTCAGGCCAATATCCCTGATGAACATCAATGTGAAAATCCTCAATAAAATACTGGCAAGCTAAATCCAGCAGCACATGAAAGATCTTATCCACTGCCATCAAGTCAGCTTCATCCCTGGGATGCAAGACTGATTCAACATATGCAAATCAATAAACTTAATCCAACACATAAACAAAACCAATGACAAAAACCACATGATTATCTCAATAGATACAGAAAAGGCCTTCAATGAAATTCAACACACCTTCATGCTAAAAGCTCTCAATAAACTAGGTATTGATAAAACATATCTCAAAATAGTAAGAGCTATTTATGACAAACACACAGCCATTATCATACTGAATTGGCAAAAGCTGGAAGCATTCTCTTTGAAAACCAGCACAAAACAAGGATGCTCTCTTTCATCACTCCTATTCAACATAGTATTGGAAATTCTGGCCAGGGCACTCAAGCAAGAGAAAAAAATAAAGTGTATTCAATTAGGAAAAGATGAAATCAAATTGTCTCTGTTTGCAACTGGTATGATTGTATATTTAGAAAAATCCATTATCTCAGCCCTAAATCTTAAGCTGATGAGCAACTTCAGCAAAGTCTCAGGATACAAAATCAATGTGCAAAAATCACAAGCATTCCTACACACCAATAATAGATAAACAGAGCCAAATCATGAGTTAACTCCCATTCACAATGACTACAAAGAGAATAAAATACCTAGGAATACAACTTACATGGGATGTGAAGGACCTCTTTCAGGAAAACTACAAACCACTGCTCAAGGATATAAGAGAGGACAGAAACACAGGGAAAAACATTCCATGCTTATGGATAGGAAGAATCAATATCATGAAAATGGCCATACTGCTCAAAATAATTTCAATGCTATCCCCATCAAGCTACCATTGACTTTCTTCACAGAGTTAGAAAAAACTACTTTAAATTTAATATGGAACCCATATAGCCAAGAACAAAGCTGAAGGCATCACACTACCTGACTTCAAACTATACTACAGGCCTACAGTAACCAAAACAGCATGGTACTGATGCCAAAACAGATATGTAGACCAATGGAACAGAACAGAGGCCTCAGAAATAATGCTACAGATATACAACTGTCTGATCTTTGAAAAACCTGACAAAACAAGCAATGGGGAAAAGATTCCTTATTTAATATAAATGGTGTTGGGAAAATTGGTTAGCCACATGCAGAAAACTGAAACTGGACCCCTTCCTTACACCTTATACAAAAAATAACTCAAGATGGATTAAAGACTTAAATGTAAGACCTAAAACCATAAAAACCCTAGAAAAATACATAGACAATACCATTCAGGACATAGGCATGGGCAAAGACTTCATTACTAAACCACCAAAAACAGTGGCAACAAAAGCCAAAATTGACAAATGGGATTTAATTAAACTAAAGAGCTTCTGCACAGCAAAAGAAACTATTATCAGAGTGAACAGGCAAGCTACAGAATGGAAGAAAAATGTTGCAATCTATCCATCTGACAAAGGGCCAATATCCAGAATCTACAAAGAACTTAAACAAATTTATAAAGGAAAACCAAACAACACCATCAAAAAGTGGGTGAAGTATATGAACAGACAATTTTTAAAAGAAGACTTTTGTGTGACCAACAAGTATATGAAAAAAAGCTCATCATCACTAGTCATTAGAGAAATGCAAATCAGTGAGATACCATCTCATGCCAGTTAGGATGGTGATCATTAAAAAGTCAGGAAACAACAGACGCTGGAGAGGATGTGAAGAAATAGAAACACTTTTGCACTGTTGCTGGGAGTGTAAATTAGTTCAACCATTGTGGAAGACAGTGTGGGGATTCCTCAAGGATCTAGAACCAGAAATACCATTTGACCCAGCAATCCCATTACTGGATATATACCCAAAGGATTATAAATCATTCTACTATAAAGACACATGCACACATATGTTTATTGCAACACTACTCACAATAGCAAAGACTTGGAACCAACCCAAACGCCCATCGATGATAAACTATATGAAGGAAATGTGGCACATATACACCATGGAATACTATGCAGGCACAAAAGGATGAGTTCATGTCCTTTACCGGGACATGGATAAAGCTGGAAATCATCATTTTCAGCAAACTAACACAGGAGTAGAGAATCAAACACCACATATTCTCAGTCATAAGTGGGATTTGAACAATGAGAACACATGGACATGGGGTGGGGAGTGAGTAACATCACATACTAGGGCCTGTTGGTGGGTGGAGGCCTAGGGGAGGGATAGCATTAGGAGAAATACCTAATGTAGATGACAAGTTGATGGGTGCAGCAAATGACTATGGGACATGTATACCTATGTAACGACCCTGCACATTCTGCACATGTATCCCAGAACTCAAATTATATATATATAAAAGATTGTTTTCTACTTTATGTGTATCACCATAGCAGCTGGTGCAGAGCTCAGGTGTTTAGAAAATTACTTATTTGCTAGATAACCATTATTTCTATTATCTCTACACCAGTCTTTTCAAGATGGCTTTAAAATAGAAAGAAAGGTCTTTGTCTAATAGCTTTATTGAGGTGTAACTGAAGTACAATAAAGTGCACACATTTAAAGTGTACGAGTAGATGCATCTTGACATATTTATACACCAGTGAAACTATCACTGATAGTGAATGTTTCCATTTCACATAAAAGATTCTCTACACCCTTTTCCTTCCTGCTAATCCTTAGGAAACCACTAATCTTCTTTTATCCAACTAGATGTTAGCTTTATTTTTATATTTTAGAATTTTATATAAATGGAATCATATAGTACTCTTAAAAATAATCTGGCTTCCCCCACTCAGCTTAATTATTTTGAAATTCATCTATATTGTTGCATATATACTCTTTTTTTCTCTTTCTTTTTCATGTTAACGTTCTATTATATGGATATACCACA